TTCTCTAGAACCAAATGGCAATGTATACTTTTAGTTTTCTTTAAACATTAGGAATTAGGGGTGTAACAACACAGATCCTGATATATCTGTCAAATGACTCAGTTACATCAAGGCAAAACAAAAATATTGATCCATATTTTCATCATGCCTGAAGTGGATGGGTCATGGCCCATCTAACACCATCATCTGTGTTGGGCATGTGATATTCCATCAGATTAATTGCAGACTTAGGAACTAAATTAAAATCATATCTTGGCAGACTGCAGGGCCTGGTCTGGTTGAGGTTCAAACCCAGGTTTGGCGTAGTGAGYTACCAACAACAACAAGCTAACATTAGCTTACCCTTCATCCTGCCCTCTCCTATTTTGTGTTATGCTACTGCTGGGTGGTCCTGTACAACATCTGGCACTTTTCCTTCGGGTTTGATGTAGTCCAATGTTGTTTTGTCACAAATAATACTAAACAAAACCGTGTCCTGCCCACATCGAGGTGGCTCTCTGGTCAATGCAAACATAACCGGAGTCGAAGCAGAGTAAGGCCAGGCCAGGCTTGAGCCGGGACGGGCCGAAGTGGGCTTTACAAAGCAAAAACACCTTCTGAAACCAGGAAACATTGTATCATCCTCCAAACAAATCCATATAATGTTTTGTGCTAAAGCTGCTGATTTACTCTTTTCTATGAMTATCAATCTCTAAAGAGACTTCCTGAATCTAAATGAATGCTGTTAATGATAAAATTTATCTTGCTGTATTCACGTTCTTTATATGAAGGAGAACAAAGTTATCAATACATATTTGGAGGAAATGAGGTTGGGTCWTTATCCAATGGCTTTTGAGAACTTTACTTGGTCAACAAGTGGAGGATGAACAAGTTTTCATTTTTATTGCATGTTTTATTGCTTGTTTACTGATAGTTAAACACTAATTTATTTTAATGGTTTTATTATTTAATTTRTTTAGTGTTTAAACACTGTTTTATTGTATGATTGTATCCCATGTTTTCTGCTGTAGTAGCTTGGATATGTTGCAAATGAGGATGTTACCTTAATATAGTTCCAAGGTTAAAATAAATAACTCTGTCCTGAAATCTCTTTGGAGATATGATTTGAAATATGCTAGATTCTTTTTAGATTTAGCTGTATTTTCCAAAGTATCAGCATCAGCTTAGTGTCACCAATACCAASCCAAGTTTTACTCAGCATCCAATCAGAAAGGAAATCGGTGGTATTGAACATCGAAAAATAAGCAGCAGTTTGGAAGCTCATCCTTTACCACCAATCCAACTCTTTTATGTCTTTTGTGAGAACAATGGCACCTTTCACTAAACCTTTTCAAGTTGAGCCTGAGGTCCCTTCTTTTCATTTTGGTGAGATTTCTGTAAGGATCGAGGCAGAAGTTGAAGTCAACACGTCGCTGTTACACYTCTGAGCCACCGAGGGAGGAAATGACAGATTTAGAATAGGGGTTRCGTGTAAGTGTTTGTCAGTGTCGAGGTTCAAGTGTGCGCTGTAGTGTTGGCAGGCGGTCTGTGTGACCGGCAAGCCATGGGATTTGGAACGAGAGACATCTTCTGTACATCCCTAATGAGGTMCATACACTGCACTGCACGCCTCCTCTGGTTCTGTGATGTCAGCTTCAGATGAACGCASTYTGGTTGATTGGWKGTTTATGAATCGTCTAAAAACGGGCTCATCTTTCTGGATGCATTTTATGGAACTGTTCCATTCAAGACACTAAGGACTGCAAACCTTTCACTGTGCCTGACCTCTGACCAGAGSTTAGGAAAGATTACTGGAGTAATTATTTTTCAGCCGACTTTTTTTTCTCTCTACTGCTTACAGTTTAAAACTAGACTGTTCTTGGATAGAATGAATTTAATTGTGGTTGGATGAAAAGTATAAATATTCTAACACCTTATTGGTTTGGACGCGATCCATCACACCTGCCCATGACACGGGTTCAACATTAACGGGGGGTGTTCCAAGCACATAGTTCAATTCTATACCACGATCAAATCAATAACTATGTTACCATCAATTGTTATGAAAATGCTGCATGTATCTAAAATGTGAATTTACATCATAGTCTACATCTTAACGCCTTGAAATAGGCCTCTGTCTCTTTAAGAACCTCCTACCGTTTCTAACACTTCCACTTCAGCACATCGTCACAACAATGCTTCGGGCAAGGGCTGCTCTGTGGAGCTGGAGCTCAGCTGCAGACAGAGCTCGAGGGAGGAGCTTTGTGCTAATAGGCGGAGCTTTGTACCAGCAAACATTTTGGTAGCTCCACATGGCYACAGGAGATTCAGGATTTCTCAAACATACTGTACACGAATGAGTCAAAGCAACACTCTGGGTATGTTTTTGATGAGGGAATGACATTATAACATGATGTAAAACTAAAAAAACCCCACTTTTTTTCATCACACCTTCCTCACCTTTAAGATTTTATTATAACATTATCATCATTATAGATCTTTAGAAGGATTTTTTTGCTTCACCTTCCAATAAACGTCCTTTTGGGAAATTCTAGCTGCTCACTTTTACWAAATACTTGAGTACATTTTATCTCAGAAATTTACTTTTGATACTTATGAACAGTAAATGTCAGATACTTTTAAAGATTTTTACTCAAGTAATATTATTACAGATGACTTTCACTTTTACCAAAGTAAGTAATGTTATGGTAAGATACTTGTGCKATCACTCAACTATTACTTTAAGGTACTTTAAATAAGACTGCCTATGTCACTAAATATTTTCACGAGAGAACACCAGAAGAATACAGTTTAAAAAATTGTTTTGTTATTTATTTAAAATGTTCTTTTTCCAAGAAAGAAAATAATTCACCAAACAACTTCATTGGTTTTAAAAGACTTTGATGCACAAATTAAAGGCTTAAATATTTGCATTCACCCCACCAATAACAAGCAAACTGCAAACTTTAAATTTCATGCTGGGATAAGTCAATCGATTCATCAACTAAATAAGTAAGAAAAAAGTACGTTTTTGGCATGATTCTAATCTTGATCTGACCAGCAACCAAGTAACACGTTGGTGTTTTCATGGGATTCAGAGCTCATTTGACGATATTGCACTTCCTAAAAGACGGATGTATTCAGCGTCTTGTCACGAGACCACATCAAGTAGAGCACTCTCCTCATTCTGTGGTTAAAAATGGAACTAATAACCACTTAGGCTTTCATATTCCCAGTGGTGGAATGAAAAAAAAATTAGAGCTCTGCAGCTTGAGTGGAGCTGCTAATGATCTAAACGCAGAAACACAATAAAACRGTTTGTTGTTTAAAGTCTCACACAGAAAACATAGAGTTACATCTCTTGTGTGTCATTTCTCGTCTCATTTCAAGTTCGTTCACACGAGTGTCAGTTCAGTGATGGAAAGAAACATGATCAGAGTGTAAATATTAACCCACATAGCACAACTTGTCCGCCCGAGTATGGGCCCAAAAAACACTGGTCCGAAAAAAAATAAAAAAAAAAATAAAAAATAAAAATAAAAAAAGACGTCTCTTTGGTGGCCCAGATGTGGTCCATGCATGGGTCATAACCATAACCGGGCCAGTGGTGGCACGCCATCTTAAAAACAGTACCATCATTGCCAGACCCGGCCCACAAACCATTTGCCATGGCAGCTTGACCCCAGATCTGACCCCCACCGGTCTGCTGTGAGGGTGCAGACCTCTGCAGGCTCAAACACACAGACTTGGGCAACTTGTGAAGCAGCGACTAAATCCTCATTTCAGAGATGTGTTTGAGAGAACACACAGCTCCTCACAGGTTTACGCCCCACCTCTCTGCGGCCTGACTGTCAAACCCAACTGTTCCTGTGTCACCCGATCAGGAGGCGGTCAATCATATCGATCCCACTCAGCCTCTTCTCTCCCGTTTCATTCAGCACTCACTGATCCCCTGGGTGTGAGCTGTGAGACCTCCCACGTGCAGAGTGGGCACCAGAAAAACAAACAAAAAACTCTTCTTAATCTGCTTGTTTGGTTTTTACACATTTTTTTTTAAAAAAAAACTAGTCTTTTTTGTTTAAGCTCTTAAAACTTGTCAGTCTTTTATTAAAAATTAGGCTGAAACTTTTTGTGGAGCCTGCTGGTGTGTGGGGGGGCTCCAGGGGGGCCTAGGAGCCACATTGAGGCGTGGCCCCGGCTTCCAATGTTTCCTTCAAGGACGAATGCAGCTTCAGTGTTAGAAATGAATACCAGAATGAGATAAGAGGGAAACAAATATGTGATTGTTGAAGTGGATCAGTGTTGGCGCAGAATGGTTACGTTTTTACGCGCGGAGGACCAAGTGAATGTGGGGACCACACAACCCCCCCAACATGMAGTAATGCCTGCTGATCACTCAGCAAACACAACCTCCCCCCAGCCCAGCCCACCCGGGAAACGCCGACGGCTGTAAATCAGCCCAACAGCTGCCCYGATGGTGACCCCAGTCAGGACAGCCGGTGCGTAAAAAGCGCAAAACACGGAGAGGAAAGTGAAGAGAAAGAGCTGACTGTGCTTCAGATTAGTGGAGAGAATGAATAATTCAGTTTGTTAGATTRGTTTCAGTTGCAGCAGCACCAAACAGCCTGCAAAAACATAAAACTCCTGCTGAGAAAGCTCGGATGATCTTACCTCAGAGCCTCAGAGAGAACCGAACCGCGGCACAAAGAGAAGCAGCGTCACAGTTTCATGTTCTCCTCTTTTTTCTGTCTCTCTTATCTGTCTGAGGACTTCCRCCAGACTAAACCCAGAGGCTGGCTGGCATCAAGGCTTCCTGTGCACTTTGTTTTGGTTTCCAACAAGGACAGAGAGAAACGAMCTGAACAAGCAGCGACCTGCTCCTCATCTCCGCTCCGAGCATTTGAGCCGAAGAGTCCTGCTGAGGAGGGGGGGGGG